TTAAATTTTTTTTTTTTTTTTTTTTTTTTTTTTTTTTTTTTTTTTTTTTTTTTTTTTTTTTTTTTTTTTCTGTTAAATTATCATTTCTGTTAAACTTAGCATTTATGTTAAATTTAACATTCTCTTAAATTTCACATTTCTCTTAAATTTAACATTTCTGTTTAATTTAACATTTCTGTTAAATTTAACATTTCTGTCGAATTTAACATTCCTGTTAAATTTAACATTTCTGTTTAATTTAACATTTCTGTTAAATTTAACATTTCTGTTAATTTTAACATTTCTGTTAAATTTAACATTTCCGTTAAAGTTAACCTTTCTGTTAAATTTAGCATTTCTGTTAAATTTAACATTTGTGTCAAATTTAACATATCTGTTAAATTTAACATTTCTGTTAAATTTAACATTTATGTTAAATTTAACATTTCTGTTAAATTTAACATTTCTATCAAATTTAACATTTCTGTTAAATTTAACATTTCTGCCAACATTTAACATTTCTGTTAAATTTAACATTTCTGTTAAATTTAGCATTTCTGTTAAATTTAACATTTCTGTTAAACATTTCGGCCAAAATTTAACATTGAAATATTTCTGTATTTTTTTAATTTAACATTTATATTAATTTCTCAATTATGTTAATTTTAACATTTATGTTATTCCTTATGTTATTTCTTTTTTTAAATGTTATTTACATTTATGTTATTGAATATTTTATATTAATAATTAATATTAATATTATTTTACACACAAAATGTTAACTTAACATTAATGTTATTAGTTTTCATTTTACATTTTACAATTTGTTGGTATTTTTTTTTTCTTCTTGACCTTTTTTTCTAATTTAACAATATTATTGTTTTATTTAATTTTTGTTTTTATATTAGCTATAAATTTAATATTTAATAAAATTATGTTTTTAATGATTATTATTTTTTTAATGTATTTATGTATGTATAGATATAATAATTAAAACAATTGAACAACAACATATATATATTTATGTATGTATATATAAAAACAAATTCCTGATTTCTGTTTAACAAAAAAACAAAATTATTGTGTATTATTTTTAATGTATGTAATTATGTTTGTATGTGTATGTGACTTCTATTTAACAAAAACAACAAAAAATTTATTTATGTATGTATAACAGTGTAAAAGAAAAAAAGTGCTAAAACAAAACAAACAACAACAAAAAAACTATGGTACATGCGTTACACTTTCTTATTGTTTCGTTCAGGTTACAGTATATATATTTATTTATGTATTTATATGTGTTTTGTATGTAGGTATGAATATAACAAGAAAATATTTTAATTTTTTGTATGTTCAGGAAAACAAAACAACAAACGGAATTTAATAGCAAGAAAAAAACAAATGGATGAACAAAATTTTTAATATTAAAAAAAAATCAATTACAGGCTCGCCCATATTCGACGGACCCATCTGGCAACGCCATAACTTTTGACAGCCTCGTCGATTGGAATGGGCCCAAAGAGTCATCGAAATGGCCGAAGATGACGAGCAATTTCGGAACAAAATTATCATGTCCGATGAAGCCCATTTCACATTGAATGAGACCGTAAATAAGCAAAATTGCCGTTTTTACGCCACTGAAAATCCTCAGGAGATTCAAGAAGTGCCTCTTCATGACGAAAAAGTCACAGTTTGGTGCGGCGTTAGTGAGAAAATGAAAATGGTCATGCTGTTACCATCAATCAGGAGCGTTATCGCGATGCCAATTATTCCTCGAAAGCGTATGAGGAAGTTCTGCTTTCAACAAGACGGCGCTCCACCGCACACAAATCGCATAACAATCGATTTTCTGAACAATTTGTTTTCGGGCCGTTAGATGTCGAAAAGTGGTGATTTGGACTGGCCACCGCGTTCGCCCGATTTAACGCCGCCTGACTTCTTCTTGTGGGGATATTTGAAGTCAAAGGTTTACATTAACAAACCAAGGACCGTAGAAGAGTTCAAGGATAACATTCGTGAAGAAATAGCCGCTATTCCGGCCGAAATGTTGGCAAAAACTATGGAAAATGCAGCAAAAAGGGCACAATACGTCATCAACGCCAGAGGCGGCCATTTGAGAGATGTCATATTGAAAAATTGATGTAAACAAATCTACTTGGAACAAATTAAATGATTAACATTGCCAACCGCCAAATTTTTATTTTTTTTTTCTTTGATTTAAAAAAAAAACATGGGTCCGTCGAATATGGGCAACCCTGTAATTTATATTCAAATATTAAATTAATTTTGATAAAAAAAAAATTAAGTTAATTCTTAAATAAAAAAAAATTAATAAATACAAAAAAATTATATTAATTTTTAATATAAATTTTAAAAATTAATATCAATGTTTAATTAAAAATATAATTATTGAAATTTAATTACAAAATATATTTTTTATTGAAAAAAATGTATATATTAATTTTTAATAAAAATAAAAATAAATAAATTTTATAATAAAAAATATTTATTTCTTATCCAAATTAATTTATATACTTCAGACATTTTTAATAAAAATAAATTTAATTTTTTTTAATAAAAATAAATTTAATTTTTTTAATAAAAATAAATTTAATTTTTTTATTAAAAATTGATTTAATTTTTTTAATAAAAATAAATTTAATTTTTTTATTAAAAATTGATTTAATTTTTTTAATAAAAATAAATTTAATTTTTTAATAAAAATAAATTAAATTTTTTTAATAAAAATTTATTTAATTTTTTTATTCAAAATTAGGATAATCTTTAATAAAAAATTAATTTTTTTAATGCAAATTTATTAAGTTTTTTTTTTAATAAAAATCAACTTAATTTGTACTAAAAATTAATTAATTTTGTAATTTTCTTTTTATTAAAAATTAATTTAATTTTTTTAATAAGAATTTATTTGAAATTTTTAATAAAAATTATTTTGAATTTTTAATAAAAATTAATTTAATTTTAAAAATAAATTTAATTTTTTTAATAAAAATTTATTTAATTTTTTTATTAAAAATTAGGACAATCTTTAATACAAAATTAATTTTTTTTAATGCAAACTTATTAAATTTTTCTAATAAAAATCAACTTAATTTGTACTAAAAATTAATTAATTTTACTATTTTTTTATTAAAAATTAATTTAATTTTTTAATAAAAATTTATTTTAAATTTTTAATAAATTTTTTTTTTTAAATTTTTAATAAAAATTAATTAATTAAAAATTAGTTTAATTTTTCTACTCAAAATAATTTAATTTTTGTATACAAAATTAGTTTATTTTTTATTATTAAAAATTAATTAATTATTTTTGAAAAAAAATTTTTTTTAATTATTCCATAAATAACTGTATTTTTTTATTTCACTACAAGCATCCATCCATCCTTTTAACTAATATTTTCAACAATGTAAAAATGAAACAAAAAAGTTGAATTTTGAAAAAAAAATTAACAAAAAAAATATTATTATCTATTTGCCTTGAATTATTATTATTATTATTTTTTTTTGCTTAGGTTGTTTTGTTGTTGTTGTTGTTATTACATTACAATTATTATTGTTATTTAGATTTTTTTTTTTTTGGTTTTCAAACATTGAAAGTTTAGAGTTGGTATTTGATTAAAAATCTGTTGTTTTTTCTTTCGATTTTAATTGTAGCTACTTAAAAAAGGAAAATTTATTTATTATTATTTTTTTAATTATTTATATTATTTTTTTTAAACTATATGGCTTAATGTTAATAACAATTTCTTTTATATTTAGATTTTTATGTTTCATTTTTTATTTAAAATTTCGGTTTTTTTTTTCTTGCTATGTTTCATAATGTGTGTCTGTGTGTGTGTTTTGTTTTCGCTAAATATTTTCATAGTTTGTCAACATTAAATGGAGTTTTAAATATGGTTTTCGGTTTTTTGTTTTCTTCTTCTTCTTCTTTTTAAAGAGTGGGGAGGGGGAGAGAGGTTATTGGAAATAGAGTTTGTTTCTTTGTTGAAAATATCTCTTGGGAATTTTTCTTTAAATATATATTTTCTTTTACTGTAAGGTTATTTTGTAGTTGTTGTTGTTTTTTGTTAAAGAGGATTTTTTGTTTTTGTTAAAGTATCCTTTTATTTCATTTTTTGTATCCTTTTCTGTTATAGTCTCCTTAAAAAAAATTTATTACGTTTTTAACACTTTTTTTACTTTTACTTTTCGTTTATCTTCTTCTTCTTATTTTTCTTTTGTTTGAAATTTACATTATTTGTTTTCTTTATAATTATTATTATTATTTTTTTTTTAATTTAATTTTAAAAATTATTAATTGTATATTTTTCTAAGGTTTGTTTTTATTAATTTATTTAGGGTTTCATTTTTTGTTTTTTTTTTTACTTATTTAAATGTAATGAAAGTAATTTGTTGTTGTTTTGGATTTTTTTAAATTTAATTCTTCTTCTTTTTTTGGGTAAAACCCAGAGGGGGGTGAAACAGTTTTTTTGGGAGGAATAAAGTTTAGGAAAAACAGGTTTGTTTGTTTTAGTTTTCAAAAATTTGTAAGTTTTTAAAACTTTTCGTTTCAGTTTTTCTTGTTTGTTTGTTTTGTTTTTGTTGAATTGAATTAATTATTTATTTATTATTTATATAATAACAATAATTAAAATATCTAATCATTCAAAGAACATTATTTTTTATTTCATTTTCGTTTGTTTTTCATTTTTTTGTGAACAATTGTGTAGATGTGAAAGGTGTCTGAAAGAGGGTAGGGGGGTGTGGTGGTTGTTAGGGAGCTGAGGAACAAGACTAATAAATAGATTTAGTTCTCGATTTGTTTTTTGTTGTTACTCTCTTTGTTTGGTTTTAACGCTCTTTTAGAAATATATATATTTTTATTTAATGAAAGGATTTCCTTTTAACTTTTTTCTCTCAGATGAATAGTTGTTGTTGTTGATTGGTTGGTGGTTGTGGTGTTGTTGTTGTTGGTGAATTGGTGTTTCATTTTTTGTTTAACTATTTGCAAAAAAAATATTGAAATTTTTCTTTAAATTTAATTCACAACAGTGGCTAATGGAATTTGTCGCGCTCTTTTTGTCTCCTCCTCGTTGATTTTCTGTTCAATTAGATATTGAGCTTTAGCAATGGCACTCGGTTGACCAGTAATGGTTACAATACGATTTCTGGTGCCAGGTGCGAAAATGCCTTTCTTTGAAATTTGCACATTAGCACCCGAAATATGTTGAATTTCAACTAAACAACGACCGTTGGGACCTGATATATTGGATTTTGATTTGATTGATTTTTTGGAATTTTTTTTTGTTTGTATGAAATATAAAAAAAGAAATATTTTTCATTAATATATTATAAAGATTTATAGATAAAGATAAAATGGGATTAATTTGTTATATTATAGTTATATATATGGAATATTAAAAATTATATATTAAATAAAAGAAACAAATATTAGTACCAAAAAATATACACAAACAAATAATTAAAATGGGGAATGTGTGTTAAAATTGTTTTGTGTTTTTTTGTTGTGTTATAAAGGAAGAAAAAGACTAAAACTATAATTTTTTTAAAAACTAAATATTTTGAGGTATATAATTATTATTTATAAAATGCATATCAGCATTTTTTATGTGTGATTTTTTTCATTTAAAGTATTTTAACCAATTGCACTAGCAGCATGTCTTTATGGATCCTTTTTGCAGGACATAAAGACACTTTTTGTGTATATTAATAACGTAGGTATATATATAAACTAAAAATTAGTATGTATATATGTGTTTGTATGTAAACTTAAAAAAATAATTAAAACAACACCAAAAGTGCTTAAATAAAAGAACAAAAAATATGTCTACAAGAATTTGCACACTGCTGTAGTTGGCATTTCTTATGGAAGAGAGGGTTTTGGAATAAGTTGAATTATTTTTTATAAAAAAATTTGTTGTTATAGAATAGTAAACATTTTAATTTTTATATGTTTTAATTCAAAAGATAAGGACAATTAAAAAATAAAATAATGAAATATAATATTCAAACAAATATTTTTCTTTCAAAACTAAAAAAACTAATATTTTAAAACATAAAAATATATTTCAAATTAAATAAAAATTTGTCAAGGAAATATATATATATTTTTTTTAAATTATCAAATTTTTATTTTGTAGCTGTAGTTGGCATTTCATATGGAAGAGGATGTTTTGGAATAAATTGAATTATTTTTTATAAAAAAAAAATGATGTTATAGAATAGTAAGCATTTTAATATTTATATGATTTAAATCAAAAAATAAACACAATTAAAAAAAATTAATGAAATATAATATTCAAACAAATATTTTCCTTTCAAAACTAATATTTTAAACCATAAAAATGTATTTCAAATTAAATAAAAATTTGTCAAGGATATATATATTTTTATTTAAAAAAAAATTATCAAATTTTGATATACAAATTGTTTTATTCCATTTTGGAATAAAATAATTTATATATTTTAAAAATATTTTTTCATTAAATTTCATTAATTTTTTTTTTTAATTTAATAAACCGTTTATTTATATACCAAGAAAATATATAAAAATAAACATATTTTTTAATTAAATTGCATATTAAAAAATATATTGTTTAATTAAAAATATGTGGTATGCTTTGTGATATATCTTTATTTAGATTTTCTATTTAAAATGTATTCTTTTTATTTAAATCGTCATTTTTAATACAAAATATTATAAAAGGGAAACTAAACATGAATAAAAAAACAAACATTTTTTTATTTAAAAAAAAATATACATTTATTATTTTTATTTAATTTAACAAATTTTATTTTCAAATAGAATATATTACATAATCCTCTCACTTCTTCTTCAGAATAACGTGCCAATCTCCAACATGTGTGTGCAAATTTTTAACATGATGGATTTAATTTTTTCAAAAGTAGTGCTTAAAAGATGTAAGTGTGTGTGCGAAAAAAAAACAAAATTATGGAAAAGTAATGAATTAAAGCTGCGCCCTTGTTTCCCCTTACTATATGAATTAAACGTAAACATTTTCTGAAATGGAATTCTAGTATTACAAAAAAAAAATGTGGACCAGCCTTCCCCAAAATTCCCTGAAACTATATATTGAGGTGCATAAGGTCGAACCTAATAATGTAAAATGAAATCTTGATAAAGATATAATAAATTAAAACAATGTTTGCTGCTGTTTTGTGGAGGTGGGGTGTTCTATTTTACAAGTGTCGAGTGCGTGGATTCATGTATTTGTGCTGAAATATTTGTATTGGAAATAATAAAAAAATCACAGTTCTGTTTTTAAGTTAAATCGCTAATTATGTATGTATGCTGGTGTGGGCGTGGATGCAAAGTGGGAATAAATGTTTATAATTACAAAATTTGAGGAAATGTTTTTGAGAAAAAGATCGCAATGGAATATGTGATATTTACGTTGGGCGCCATTTGCTTTAAAAGGTTGACAAAATCCGAAATAAAAAATGCTGGAAATATTAGGAAAATATTATTTTATTGATTAGTTAGTAATAGAGTAATAAATAAAATTTTGAAGTTCATGATGGGCGCCAGTTGATCCAAAGATACTAACTATATTAAGACAAATTTGTTTTCCGTTGGGCGCCATTCGAGATAAAATACCCAGAAAAAAATAAGCATACCATAGGGCATTGCAATGGTCTTCCTTCAATCTCTGCAGGTTCTAATCAAACATTTTGGAATGGAATGTATTTGTGAAATTTAGGTTGGGCGCCAATTTTTTTGAAATGTATTAATTATGGGGGGCAAATATTCTTAATTCTTTTCGATACTAGATGAATAAATTTAATTCTGATCGCAAAATATGGCGAAAAGGAAACAACTAGTTTTAATTCCTCCCATATGGAATGTGAATAACACGTTGGGCGCCAATTGGTTTTTAATTTTATTGAAGCAATAAAGCAAACAAAATATTCCATGACATTCGAATTTAGAATATTCCAAATATTTATTTTTTACATTATGGAGGACAATTTAAAAGCAAATACTTCACAATTAAACATTTCTATATTAGCTTGTACGAGATTAGTGGAATGTATTTGTGAAATTTACGTTGGGCGCCAATTGTTTTGAATGTAATTACTGGGAGCAATTGTTCCCATTTTCCTTCGTTAGTAAATAAATGCATTACATTCGGACAGCAAAAGAAGATGAAAAAGAAACAAATAGTTTAAATTTTTCTTTATGTGGAATGTTAAGAACACGTTGGGCGCCAATTTGGGTTAAACTTTTATTGAAGTAAGGACTTTTTTATGATATTCGAATTTAGATGTATTGCTTAAAAAGGCACCATTTCCAGCATTTAAATGTCTTTAATATAATTTGTGAATTGTAAGTTGGGCGCCAATTTTAAAATATTCTTTAAATTTATAAAAAAAACCATTCAATGGTAAATTTATATTTATTTTATTAATAAGTCAATCTATTTATATTCTTAAAACCCAAAATCGATATATTTTATCCACTGAAATTTCTGTGTGTATCCTTCATTGGGCGCCAATTACAATATGTTATTCTTTGTATAGAATATGTTGTTTATCTTTTGATTTTGCATTTTGGGATCCATTAAATCGATTTGGAGGTTATGTAAATATGTCTTGAGCGCCAATTGGATTGCTATTTATAGAATTAATCATTTTATAGTCAACCTACTTCTATATGATTAAAAGAAGTCAATATATTTCGTTCATTGAAACTTGTAGGTGAATATTACATTGGGCGCCAATTTTTAAATATTATAAATATGGAGAATGGCGTTCTTTTTTTTTGGAACCATGCTCTTTATAAAATAACCATTCGTTTAGATATTTCAATTTATCTATTCAATTTCTGATATTTAAATGTGTTTGTGCAAACCACACTGTGTGAAGTTCACGTTGGGCGCCATAAATGCATTTTAACTAGGAAATGCAATACTGACTTTTGGTTGCACTTTTATTTCAAAAAGTGGGAAAATATAAAAAATTATATATATTTTTTTTTATTTCCTGCATTGAAGTTTATGTATACAATTCTGCATTGGGCGCCATTAAACTTTGCAGGGAAATATATTTAAATAAAGTTCATCATTCCATGACAGACCATTTTGATCATTGGAACTTTGCTTTTATACACATTTAATTTCATTTTTTGGATTCTGTGTGAGAATCCTATGTTCTGAACTTCACGTTGGGCGCCATTATTATTTTTTTTTTTTTTATATTGGAAATTTGAACAATTTATTTGTATGAAGTTTTTGATATGCGAACATTGATGTATCCTGCATTAAAATCGTTGTGTAAAATACTACGTTGGGCGCCATTTTTATTTTTATGAAAAGTATTTTTTTTTCTAAATGAAGGTTTTGAATTCTATGTCAGCCACTTAAATGCTTTTCGATTAACTTACTGTATTCGATTCTGTGTGAGAATCAATGCGGTAAAATTCACGTTGGGCGCCATAAATTAAATTTGTGTTTATTAGGATGGTTGATAAAAACGTTAGTAGAGCGTTTGATATGCGAATTTTGATTTTTGGAATGAACAAAAGTAAATTTCTGTGTGTATCCTTCATTGGGCGCCAATTACAATATGTTATTCTTTGTATAGAATATGTTGTTTATCTTTTGATTTTGCATTTTGGGATCCATTAAATCAATTTGGAGGTTATGTAAATATGTCTTGAGCGCCAATTGGATTGCTATTTATAGAATTAATCATTTTATAGTCAACCTACTTCTATATGATTAAAAGAAGTCAATATATTTCGTTCATTGAAACTTGTAGGTGAATTTTACATTGGGCGCCAATTTTTAAATATTATAAATATGGAGAATGGCGTTCTTTTTTTTTGGAACCATGCTCTTTATAAAATAACCATTCGTTTAGATATTTCAATTTATCTATTCAATTTCTGACATTTAAATGTGTTTGTGCAAACCACACTGTGTGAAGTTCACGTTGGGCGCCATAAATGCATTTTAACTAGGAAATGCAATACTGACTTTTGGTTGCACTTTTATTTCAAAAAGTGGGAAAATATAAAAAATTATATATATTTTTTTTTATTTCCTGCATTGAAGTTTATGTATACAATTCTGCGTTGGGCCCATTAAACTTTGCAGGGAAATATATTTAAATAAAGTTCATCATTCCATGACAGACCATTTTGATCATTGGAACTTTGCTTTTATACACATTTAATTTCATTTTTTGGATTCTGTGTGAGAATCCTATGTTCTGAACTTCACGTTGTGCGCCATTATTATTTTTTTTTTATATTGGAAATTTGAACAATTTATTTGTATGAAGTTTTTGATATGCGAACATTGATGTATCCTGCATTAAAATCGTTGTGTAAAATACTACGTTGGGCGCCATTTTTATTTTTATGAAAAGTATTTTTTTTTCTAAATGAAGGTTTTGAATTCTATGCCAGTCACTTAAATGCTTTTCGATTAACTTACTGTATTCGATTCTGTGTGAGAATCAATGCGGTAAAATTCACGTTGGGCGCCATAAATTAAATTTGTGTTTATTAGGATGGTTGATAAAAACGTTAGTAGAGCGTTTGATATGCGAATTTTGATTTTTGGAATGAGCAAAAGTATAATAAACCGTTTCCCTTATTTATTTCCTGCATTGAAATCATTGTGTAAAATTATACGTTGGGCGCCATTTATTTTATTTTTGAAAACAAATTTAAATGAATGCTTTTTTCTTACAATTTGGGAAGACTGGGTCCTTTAATATTAACAAAAAAAATTCGAATTGTGATTTAGAGATTTGTAGGGTGTGCTCGTATGTATGTGTGTACAGGGGAAACAATGTGGGTGTACGTGGAAAATATTATTGTATGAGAAAAGGCGGCAAGAAATTGACTAGATTTACAACAACAATAAAAGAATGCAGATAAAAAAACAATATTTTGAAAGCCACTATTACTGGTGATTAATGTTTGAGACACAAAATTATATATCCACAAATAAAAATATGCATTATTATGGAATATGAAATGGTTATAACAAAAAAAGAACCTAAGTAAAGAATCATTTGATTAAGCACTACCCATGGCCATGACCAAGGCCAGGGCCCGTATTTTGTCTGTATATTTTGTAAACCTAAAATTAAAACTAAATATGCAAACTGGCATTGTAATGATAGAATCTTTTTAAATCCATAGTTGTTTTTTTTAATTATTTTATATTTTGTCTTTTGAAAAAAATTAGGTTATTTACTGTGAATAATGGAAAAATTTTGAAAAAATATATATGATAATAACTGAAATAACTATATACAATATGAATGTATAACTAATAATAATAAGTAAAATAAGAAAAATATTTATATATGTGTTTGTGTGTATATATGGGTGGGTTTGGTGGGGAAAAGACCGAAAAATATATATTTATGTATATATGCATAAGGAATGTTTTGTGAAGTATGGTTGTGGTTGTTGTAGTTTTCCTTGTAAAAATATTTATAGGAGGCACTTTTTATAGGCACTTTAAATGGAATTTTTTTTTTAAAAAATAATTATATATGAAATATTATATATAAAGAAGGAATGTTTACACTTACAGCAACAAAATCATAAAGAACATATAAGTATTTTTTTTATATAAAACTCAATTAATAATAAAAACAATTGTTAAAGAAAATTAATAGAAATTAAAACAAATATTTTTTTTCTGTATAAATGTAACCAATTAAATGTTATACAAAACTAAGCTAAGTGGTGTTTTTTAAAAAGGGGTTTAATTATTAAAACAAAAAAATAATAAAAAAGAAACAACAAAACATCGATTTTTATTAAGGTACAATAATTATTTTTTTAAGTTTAATTTTTTTTTTTAAATTTCATTTTATCTAATTTTTATTATTTTTAAAATTTTTATTTTTTTTTAAATTTATTTTTTTAATGCTTTGTTGTTTCTTTTTTTTCATAAGGCATTTGGAAGAACAAACAAAAGTGGAAAGGGGGCGTTTTAAACAACAAACAAATTTTTTAAAGAAAAATTATAGCGTTTTTTGTGCTTTTGTTTTAGGATATTGCAACTTGTTTTTTTGTTTTTAGTAAGGATAATAAAAACGTGGCCCACCTAAAATAGCACCAACAATCACTTCCGGTATCTCCACATTCTTCGTATCCTTGGCACTCAAATCACCCGGTGTTGGACTCTTGCTAATACCGCTCAAGGCATGCGCCCCAGTTGCCGCATTCAATGTGGGCGCTGTGGTCACTGTACCAGTGGCTGCGGTCAGCCCAAAGCTATTATTGTTCAACGATACCGGTGTGGCAGCCTGACCAGCATTTGAATTTAAATGACGGAATGGATCAAATTGCGCAGCGGCAGCATCCAATTGCTGTTGTGTGGGTCGATTGGCAGCAGCAGCCGCCACAGCTGCACTATATTGCTCTAAATTGACTTGACCGACGGCACCGAATACATTACCCGCAGTAGCGGCTGTGGCAGCTGCAGCGGTCTGTTGATCCAACGCTGAGACACCCAAATAGCTACCGAGTGTTGTGTGGGCACCATTGGTATGTTGGAGGCCGACACCCATGCCAAGAACGCCATATTTGGCGAGAACGCCCAAGGCAGCACACACCTCTGTGGTGGCAGTTTCCGAATAGCCGGAACTGCGTAAAGCGACCTGCGAAAAAAAGAGAGTTGGAGAATTAAATAAAAATTCAAGGGAAAATAAAAATTAAACAAGTAAACTAGTATCAGCCTGTGTAGCGGAGAGGCACCAAAAGAGTTTTCCATACAGACCCCCTCTTCGAATTAAAAATAGGTTGCTAAAATCGTTTCAAATTAAATTTACAGGTTTATAAAAGTTTGACCCTATGTAGGGGAGATACCAGAAGGAGTTGTCCAATATTCCCCATCTCCGAACCAGAAGAGTTTTCCATACAGACCCCCTCTTCGAATTTAAAATAGGTTGCTAAAATCGCTTCATATTAAATTTACAGATTTATAAAATGTTGACCCATTGTAGGAGAGATACCAGAAGGAATTGTCCATTATTCCCCATCTCTGAACATGATTTAAGTTTGGAAGAATCATTACAATGTGCAAAGTTTGGAGAAAATCGGTTGGCTAAAACGGATTTTCTCCAAAGAAATATAGGATATAAAAACCGAATCTTTATAAACCTCACCTTAAACCTCATTTTAAAATCTGCTATACGAAAAAAAAGTTATGGCGAAAAAAAGGTATGCAATTTGCATTAAACCGTCGTCAGCGCCATCTATTGATGCCAATGATTCAAATCATGCAAACAGCTGGGAATTTTATACATTAATTCTCAATAAAGTATATAATTGTACCTTTCATATGACACCACTTTCATTTTAATATCAGCACTACGAAAAAGGTTATGGCAAAAAGAAATAAGGTATGCAATTTGCATAAACCCGCCATCGTCAGCGCCATCTTTCGATGGGCATAATTCAAATCATGCAAATAGCTTTTAATTTTGTGTATACAATTGTATACAAGTATACAATTGTACTTTTCATATGACACCATTTTCATTTTAAAATCTGCTATACGAAAAAAAGTTGTGGCGGAAAGAAATAAGGTATGCAATTTGAATAAACCCGTCGTCAGAGCTATCTATCGTTGGGCATAATTCATACGAATAGCTTGGAATTTTATAGATTAATTCTCAATAAAGTATACAATTGTACCATTCATATGACTCTATTTTCATTTTAATATCAGCAATACGAAAAAAGTTATGGCAAAAAGAAATGAGGTACGCAAACCCCCGACGTCAGCGTCATCTATCGATGGGCATAATTCAAATCGTGCAAATAGCTTGGAATTTTATACATTAATTCTCAATAAAGTATACAATTGTAGCTTTCATATGGCACCATTTTCATTTTAATATCTGCTATACGAAAAAAGTTATAGCAAAAAGAAATGAGGTCGCATCATCAGCGCCATCTATGTCTCATGATTCAAATCTGACACTCCAGCTCTCAAAGCGTATAACTTTTGAACGGATAGTCGCATCTCTACGAAATTGGTGTCAAATGAAAGCGTAAATAGTTTACTTTACTATGACCAATGATATTTAACATAACCCTCTTGAAGAGCCGGAAGAGAGGAGAGGCTGACAATATGATAGAGGAGGTGAGTGAGTGAGTGAGTAAAAATATCGGTTTGACGATATCTAGGAATACCAGCAATACGAAGTAGCTGGTGTCTGGGGCACAAAGGCGGAAGTTGACCAGAATGAACCGGATGAACAAACAGTGCGAGAAGCAGACGGAGGCTCAAAATAATAGGTCTGAATTTCCCTCCACTGCTGCAGCGAGGAGGATAAGGTCCCCGAAACAGCAGATGAGTGTCGAATCCGCTAAAAAGAAAATCAGATTACGGTCAGCCAACGTCAAACGATACTGTCAGACGACTCTGATATCAGCTCTGAGTCGGAATCTTCCGCAAAGACTGGGAATGTCCAAAGGACCAACCGGTATCTGTGAAAGAGGAAAGCAATAAATGGTAAGGAGCCGTCGTCTTATGGCACGGTTGCCGGGAAGCGCTATAGTAACGAGCTCTTCTATGCAGTGATCGATGGAAATTGTGCGTCCGGACAACAACAGATGTTAAGGAGCCGCCGTCTTATGCCACGGTTGCCAAAAAGCGCTATCGAGACGTTCTCTGCTATGCAGTGATCGATGGAAATAGTGAGTCCGGTCAACTGAAAAAGGTGACCCATAAGGAGACAATGAATCGTGGAGCACCTTATTCATGAAGAGTTCTCCATTGATCTAGATAGCTGGGACTATCTAATGCTAGAATTTGAATCAACAAAGAGCATAAAAGCCCTGAGGAAGTTAGTTGCAAGTATTGGACCGATGGATGGGGCAGCCAGAAAAAGGCTGGTGAGGAAAAGAGACATTTCTCAATTACAAAAGGCTACAGTTTTCGATTCCACTACGGAACACATGCTCGACGCCTTCGGTCTGCAGAAAAAGACACTCCTGGTGAAGAAGTGAAAAGTCTTACACAGGGAGGAGAACGAGGAAGGTGAATATTCTTGTGGTAGGTTTGGACAGGTCTTTAATGGCAAGTCTCGCTAGGACTAAGGGCAACGTGCACTGCGTGTTCAACGGTGTATACTTTAAAATCGCAAAGGCAAGGATTGAAGAAGGTGAAGCCATTGTTAACAGAAGTAGGGAAGAGCTATTAGATATAACAATATTTTCAGCGAACATAATAGATGAGGTCCAGAAATGGAGAGTCTTAGAAGAGTACTCCTTCTCTGATTTTAGATTAAATTTAAAATCCTTCGGTCATCGCCGAAACCCATATACTTCAGAAACCAGTCCAAAACTAACGAGATAAAGTTCGGGATACTAGTCAAAAAGAGGTTAGGGTAACCCAATTGCGAATGCCTAGTCACGAATGACATAGACAGAAACGCCAACAACTTAACGAAAATAATTGTAAAGTCTTTCGAGGAAAGTTTTCCTCTTCGAGAAAGGAAATCTGCTTTTGAAAACCCCTGGATGACAGGGGAGATACGAAATAAAGGAAAATAAGTCCAAAGGCATTACAACAAGTGCCCAGGAAAATTCCACAGTATTCTGGGACAACATCCACGATAAACGGAAAGAATACAACAACAAAAATGACTGGAGCAGCTCCTGAACGATGTTCTGTGAACATGTAAGACAATTATAGTCGATCCTTACACCCTCTTTCGGTAAATTTAATCAATCAAAATACCAAAATTCGGCTGAGGTTGTCAAAAAGTAGGGCAATATCTATCCCAAAAATTAAATAAATCCGAATAAGAGGATTTTATATCAAAAAGTAGGCGTATTCTAATTCAATTCCCGCCAACGCCAATTCAAATACAAAAAACGCGGATAACTACCTTTTCTAATATACCAGTTCCTTTTTCTATTGTTTCCCCCATTAAAAAAATATCCCCCCTCGTTTTTCCCCCAACTCACCTTAATATGTTCCAACAATTGTGTGGCTAAAGCTAGATTTGGTGCCGGATTTGGTGAACTCAAATTCAATGACAAATTAATGCCAGTACCGTTGACTAGAAGACCTGCAGCTGTGCCAGCACCCCCGATTGTTGTGCCCAATGTCGAATTCAACGATGCTGTACTCGAATTGATGGCATTTTGATTTGTTGCATATGGCGAACCGGTTGGATTGAAATTGGCCACGGGGCCATTAATATCAGCATACGAGACATTTAAACATGTGCCGGACTGTGGGTCTTCGACGATTTTCGATAGAATCATTTTGCAGGCATTCTTATTGTTCTCCTTATCGCCGATAATTGTGATGCAACGTTCTTGCAATGATATATCTTTGGGTTTCTGTGAGATTTGCACATATGAACCGCTCTCCTCTTTCACCTGCTTAATATAAGCACCACCCTTGCCGATAATCATACCGGCCGTGGAATTGGGCACCAAAATTTTCACTTGCTTATCACGTTCCTGACTCTGTTTACTTTCGGCATCGAGGATTTTCGAGGTTAAGTCGGGTTTTTCGCGTATCTTGTCCATGACAAAGTCCAAGACGGCCATGATGCCGTCAACGGTGCCGGTAATAAGGCAGACACGTTCGGTTGTACCTGAGAAAAGAAAACAGACGTAAATTTATGGGTAAATTTTAGTGATGGTGGGAAACTCACCTGGGTAGAAATCGTGCGATTTGGACATTTTAACACGAGCACCTGTGTCCTTTTGCAACGAGGCAATTGTTTCGCCACCCTTGCCGATAATGGCCCCGGAGGCCACGGCTGGTACTAAAATCTTCATGTGGTAGGTTGAGTCCCCTGCAAGATAAGAAATTTTCGTAAAGGATATAATTAGTAAAATAATGATGCCATTTTATTTCAAACACATTTATAAGGAAATGTTTTGGATTTTAAATTTCGCTTGTTGTTGTTTTTTTGGAAAAAGGTTAAAAATTAAAAATAATAACAGTTTGTCGACTTCTCGCAGTTTAGTTGAGAAATATTATTTACTCTCTCTCTCTCTCGCGCGCAATCTCTCGCTTGATGAACATGAATTGTGAAAATGAGCAAATGAGTTTAACAGCATTTTTGTGGTTTTGTTATGGAATGAAACATGCTTCTAAGTGAATTGAATTTTCTAATTTTTGTTTCTAGCCCAAAAATAAATGCTGTGCTAAATATAAAATTATATGTAATTATTTTCGTATAACCTTAAAAAGCACTTCGAAATTCTATTTTCGTTTTTGAAATGCAAAGGAAATTAAATGTAATTGCATGTCCTTTTTTGTGCGAGAAATTAAAGGATATTCTTTTTATCTGACCCTCTCCCTCTTCTCTTTTTTTAAAAAGATAATTCATATAAGAAAGATAATTATTTGGTGCGCCATCTATCGTTTGTAAGAATAACTATCATATCACAAAAATCCCATCTAGCTAAGATAAGATCCTTAATTATCTGCTGAAAATACAGGGTAACATTCATATAATTAAATTTATACACAGTGACTACAGAGTAATATAAATATTGAGAAATGAAACATTAAGAACTGAAACATGTAAATTTCAATAGAATAATTCAATCAAAATAAAAAGAGAAACACATGCTAACGATTCAGACTTGGACTTGTATGATGCGATGCAAAATAATTTGCAATATCTGAAACCCTGGTCCAATACCAAAAAATGTTTCAGAGGATATATTTATTATATAGCTAGTAGATATATATTCTTTGGATTCCATTCGTCAAGACCTGATTATGGACAACATATATCGAACATTTTTCGTAAAGTTATGAGCTTTTCAATGTAGAGAAGAGGCCAAAAAAGTGTACGGTACTAATTTGTGTACACAGTTCAAATTATTTAAATCGCTTCGTCCTCGAATCGTACGAATTCTTTCATCAGAAAAATTTTTGATTCTTGTAAAAAAGAATATAGAGAATAATTTAAAATGATTTTCCGTTGATTTAGGATCAGGGTTTCATGCTATTGGACTTTTATTTTTTCGGGAAGAATGTACTGTATCTCCCGAATGCAAGAATGTAGCGATGTCAAACTTTGTTCACATCCTATTTAGGATAGTTGCATTAAATCTATGAACAGAAAATTGTTCTATGGTTATGAAAAACAAATTCGAGGCACAAAGGGTTAATGAATTATTTAGAAAATAACCTAATAAAACATGTTTTTCAATTTTTTATTAATGTTTAAGATGCAAATATAATTTATTTCCTATTTAATTTAGAGCAAAGTTTAACACAAACTCAAAATAGTTAAAAATAATTTGAAACCAAATTTATGGTCTGTTCCCGTACTGCAAGAATCTACTAGATTTTACTATTTTCTTCGATAACATAAAGGAAATTTCGTTATAGTAGTAAAAAGTAGTAGATTCTTGCAGTACGGGAACAGAACAATAATTGAAAAGGAAATTCAGAGAGATCCAACACTTTTAAAATTATGAGGTGCGTTTTGCTATTGATAAAGTATCATATTGGTCACTGACTTTACATAGGTAAATCTTATTGCAAATTGCAATATTTACCGTATCTCAAGAACCAGTTGTAATAAACATAAAAATTCCAGGCGGAATGTTAATTTGATCTAAAGCTTTTATTTATTGTTTTAAGGTCAGAAAACTCATATTTCAGCATAATCTATATATAATAAGCTCAGATTCAAAATATATGAATGCTCAAGTCTCAAGGAAAATCGGTAAAGAAGTTTATTCATATTTATATATAGGCTGCTTTTGTGTAGGTTTCTCGATTCCGATTAAAGACTTAGCAAGTCATTTAGAAATTTAAAATTTATTTGGTTTCCTGTTTAATTAAATGTTAAAAAGAACTTTGAATTTATCTGTGACATGAAATATATTGTTAGAAACTGTAATCAGAAGAAAATTTACTAATTTTACGATTAGAAATATGGAGCTTCTCTAAGAATGGAGTTCGAAAAGCTTCCGTGGTTCAATCATTACTTATGGTTTTTTGAGCAATGTCAATTTGTACATATGTGTTAGAAAATAGTTCTATATAATCGAATAAATCAATTCGAATAGCTAAAAATTGTCTCCAATATGAAAATCATTCCCAAATAATAATTTTGAAGAACCTGGTGGATATTGATTATTATGTTTTTCTTTTGAAGACAAAAACATTTATCATGTAAAAGTATAAAGAATCCTTCCGGAATATAAATGCTATTTTGTAAACTTTTTACGAATTTAATTAAATTTTTTTCTGTACATATATACTAAGAATTTCCGTATTCAAATCAGGTGGATTAATTTTATTTTATTATGAGCATAGTAAACAAATTTTTCTCAAAAGCCCATGTATCTTGATTATGTATGAAACTCATCGAGGAACAGTATTAGAAAAGTCAGGACCATGAAGACGATATACAAATTATATGAAGAAATCTTTGAATAAAAAAAATCGACAGATTATCTGTGGAATAGCGTTCGAAGAAAAATATTGCCTCCCCATTGAAGGTTGCAGGTAACAACCTGACCTCAACAACTTCCAAATGTATGCATTTGTAAAACCTATGATTTCCATTGGCGTTTACCGTCCACTCTCAGAACTCAATTTTTTCAATATCCTGTAGATTGATAATCATTTTTTATAATTAGGTCTGACGTGGGTTTTAATAAATATATTTTTTCGCTGATCACAAATTTGCGCTTTAGATAAGTCTATATTTTGGATTAATATTGAAGGTAATTCAATTTGTTTGCCATAAATCGGCTTGCTTCTGGAAATAATATTTGACTTTTTTATGTAACCATTTTCTATAGGATATTTTTCTAAAAGACCCAAATAGCTATTTCCCATTTATATACAGAAAAATATATCATGTATTGTCATCTCTTATTTTGCAGATGAAGTTGAAGACAACATTTTTTATCTCATGTAGTTGGTGTATGTCTAGTCTAGTATCTCCGATAAATGATAGATGGCGCCTTCGTACCAAATATACTGTACACACGTAAAAATGGAGAACAGTACATTAGAACATTTATTTGTAGTATATCTTTTAGGACCTACATGTTAAAAATCTTCAAAAAATCCTACCCTCTAAAAAAATAATTATTTGCATTAATAAGTAATAAAAAGGCAAAGAAAATTTAAAGCATTTAGTAAAGACAACAAAAAATTTAAACATCAAACAGTTAAAAAAAATTGAACCGAAAATATATGTGAAAATGTTGTTAAAAAAGGATTAGGGATGCTAAATGGAAATAAATGCGATTTCTAAATTCATTTGGTATAGAAGTATGATATTTGAGGAGTCTAGCTCAACAAAGCATAAACTAGTATTTAAAGAAGTGTAGCCATTTTTATCGATCCTCGAAATGGATTGTAATAAATTTATTTATATATATAAATATATATATTTTTTTATTAAAAGACTTGAAAATAGTTGAAAAATATTTTTTTGGATTTATGTATACACCACCCATATTTCAGTACCTATACCAAATGAATTCTAATCGCATTGAGTTCAAATTTATTGTGGCTGATCTTCGAAGAGACTTTTATATAAAATTCATAGTAAATATTGTATATTTTATTTTTATAATATTTTACAAAATTTTAGTAAATCTGTTTTCGGTTTATTTGTTTAAAAGTCTCTTTGAAAACCACACACACAAACATATATATTTGGAAAATTTGTACTTTTATTAAGGCATCGTTTTTTTTCAAATTTTGTTATCACAAACTTTATGACTTCCTAAATCACACTTTAATAAAAGTCGAATATTCTCCAAATAAATAAACATATACAAAAATTATTTAATGTTGTTGTTTGTTTAATGATTATACAATGACATTTAATGAAACAATGATGAAAGCTTACCATCATGAAAATGATTGTTATTATTTTCAATTTCAACCTCTAATCCAGAACAAACAGACTCACCTAGAAATAGAACAAATATAGAGAACAGACAGACGGACAGACAGGAGGGAGACGTGACGTGACGCACACACACACAACCACCCGCAAATAACGGCAGCATAGATAGACCAAACAAAATTTTTTTCAGAAATGGATTTGGTTTTTTTTTTGTAAAATTTTGAAATAATGTGGTTTTTTTGGATGTAAGGTAAACAAAACGTAATGCCACGTTTGATGGGTGAGCGAGCGAGCAAGTGATGGGCGATGCATGGGTTGATGGACGCAGACGGATGGATGGAGATGGGAGAAAGAAAAAAAGAAGAAGAGAGAACAAAGAAATATATCAATTAGTTTATTTGTTGCAATGATATATATGTACATATTTTTTAAATATTTTTAAAATAAATACATACAAATAGTTTTTTTTAATTTAAAAATATTTTATAAAAATTGGAAAAAACGGAAAATATATAAGCAACTTAATTGACATTGTTTTGGAATTGTTTTAATAACATTTTATAAAAAATGAAAAAAAAACGGAAAATATATAAGCAAAACAAATATACTTTGAATATTTTTGGATTATTTTTTTATAAAAATAAATTAAAATTGTAATAGTGTAATTTATATTTTTGGATATATAAGGTATAAATAAAAAATAAAAGCTCTCTTATTATATGCAAATATAATTTTTTTAAATAAATAATTTAATTTTTATATAATTTTTTTTTATTTAATTATAATAATTTCAAAATGTACATATATTTTTAATTTTATTATTTTTTTTAATATAAAAAATATAAAATATTAATTTATTTTATATTTGTTTAATTATGATATATTTTTAATTTTTTATATATTTATTTAAACATTGTTAACTTTATTTTTAATATTTTATATTTTTTATTATTTAAAAATACAAATAATTAAAAATATAAAATATTAAAAATGTTTAATTTTTATAATTAATTTTTAATTTTATAATTTATTTTTAATATTTATTAATTATTTTTCCCTGCATTTCGCTAGATATCATCCTTATATTTTTTAATTTTTATATATATTTAAATTTTTGATTTTTTTAAAATTTTTTATTTTTAATTTTTTTTTTTGTATTTTTGTTTTTAATTTTATAATTTATTTTTAATAATTATTAATTGTTTTTTTCCACACAAATATTATTTTTGTAAATAAATAATTTAATTTTATATACATATATTTTTTTTTATTTAATTATAATAATTTCAAAATATACATATATTTTTAATTTTATTATTTTTTTAATATAAAAATTATAAAATATTAATTTATTTTATTTTTTTTAATTATGATATATATTTTTTTAATTTTTTATATATTTAATTTTTTATATATTTATTTAAACATTGTTAACTTTATTTTTAATATTTTATATTTTTAATTATTTAAAAATACAAATAATTAAAAATATAAAATATTAAAAATTTTTAATTTGTATAATTAATTTTTAATTTTATAATTTATTTTTAATATTTATTAATTGTTTTTCCCTGCATTTCGCTAGATATCATCGTTATATTTTTTAATTTTTATATATATTTATATTATTTTTTTAAATAAATAATTTAATTTTTTTATATATATTTTTTATTTAATTATAATAATTTCAAAATATAAATATATTTTTAATTCTATTATTTTTTTAATATAAAAAAATATAAAATATTAATTTATTTTATATTTTTTTAATTAAGATATTTTTTTATTTTTTTTTTATATTTAAATTTAAACATTGTTAACTTTATTTTTAATATTTTATATTTTTAATTTTTTGTATTTTTTTATCTTTAATTTTATAATTTATTTTTAGTATTTATTAATTGTATTTCCCTGTATTTCGCTACATATCATCTTTATATTTTTTTAATTTTTATATATATTTAAATTTTTAAATTTTATTTTTTTTTAATATTTTTTTATTTTTTTATTTTTAATTTTTTTATATTTTTGTTTATAATTTTATAATTTATTTTTAATATTTATTAATTGTTATATTCCCCGTTTTTTTTT